GAGAGATTTAAACTCAACAGAAATTTATTATGTTTTCATCAATTTTTTAAATGAATAAAATATGCTTTTTGGCTTAAAAAAATTCGAAAAGGTTTAGGTGGTCATTGCAATAACCCTCTTCTGATCCCACTACCCTCGTCGTTAGAGAATTTTAAACTTGGCACTCTAATAGTAATCATGTTAATACATGTTAACGGAGTAAAAGCTTCATAAAAATTTTAATCATGTTTGATGTAGGGTGATTTGGCCCGACCTAGTAACAGGGGGATACGTGGATACGACCTAATTAGTAGGATGACAGTTCAATCAGATACACCAAGTCTGCAACGGATCGAGCTCGGATAACTGAACCACTTCGGGGCAAGTCCACCTCGGGACAAGTTCACCCCGGGGCACAATCGTATCAGGACCACCTCGGTCCCAAGGCACTTCGGCATTTGTACCAGGTCAAATCCAAAGGGCACTACCTCGGATAACAGCTATGGGATCACGCCTTGTAACAGCTAGCACTATCTCCCCCGTCCGGTTCGGACGGTAGTGATAAATCTTATCAGCTGGCAGCGTTATCCCCAATTAACGCGGAAACGGACCTCATCGTAACGAGGATCCCGGAACCACTCCGCAAAACCCGTGAGGACTCCACTATATAAAGGCTCCACCCACCCCCCCCCCCCCCGGGGGTGAAAGGTACGCGTAATCTTTGCTCACCAGCTCTCTTGCTTTCTGAGCTACTATCAGCTCGCAACCCATTACTGACTTAAGCATCGGAGCGACCTCGTCGGGTAAGCACCCTCGGTTTCTCTGATTCACCTTTAGCAAATCACTGAGTCCATCGTCTACTGGGAGCCAGATCAACTCCAGCTAGGAGCATCCGGATTGCGCAACATCATTTGGCGCCATCTGTGGGAATAGGTACAAGAAGCCTATTTCCTCAAAAAGCATCCATGGCATCCTCCAGTAACGCCGGACAGAACACTAACATGAACGTCTCCGTAGAGCAACCTCAGGTCCCTTCCGTGTGTATTGGACAGTTCACTGTGCCTCTCTCTGCAGATGGGATTCCAACACTGAACGTGCCTCGGGTCATAGCACCGGTGAATGCCCCACTCCCTCCTATGGTGGGTGCAACCTTTGTTGAACCCTTTATAATTCCCCCTACAGTTGGGCAGAATCAGCTCGACGACCTGGTACACTGTGTGTGGGCTATTCAAGTCCAAATGCAACAGGTCCAACAGTTCTAGTAGTACCAGCAGCAGGTCCTGCATCACTTCTACCAGTAGTAGTTCCCACCACTACAGTAAAATCCACAACCAATTCCACCTCGGCATCCGGCGGCACAGCAGAACAAGTCTCACCGTCAGAACAATCGCCCTCCTCGCCAGGGAGAGACCTCCCAGCGCGGCAGGAGGGAAAGGCAAGTCACTCCTCCAGCCTCGCAGTAAGTGAATAGGTCGGGAGATACTCAGCCCGCCAGAGCTGTTTCACTTCGGCCTTCACAACTTGAAGGTTTGCTCGCAGGGAACCGGTTCAGGGTTCTGGCCGCGGACTCTAGACAAAGCCCCTCTGTCCACAGCAACCAGCGTCAGCGGTACGAGCAACTCCATGCCAGAACAGTGCCCGACGATACTGAAGTTAGCAGCACAAATGGTGAACCAGTCAAGAAGCAGCGGAAGTGGCGTCATAAGGCTCGCCGAGCTACAGTTCCAAGCCAGCTCGCTGGACCAAGTTAGCCCGAACAACCTAAAGGCAAAGAAGAAGCGAGCTCAGGAACTGTGAAGACCGCTCCCCCCCTCTCTATGCCATCTCCCTGGTCCTCCAAGCTCCTACTACACCGATGCAGAAGGACTTCAAGGTACCTCCACTAGACAAGTATGACGGGTCGTTCGACCCGAATGATCATGTGGATTCCTTCTAGTCCTAGATGCACCTAGCTGGGGCTGGTGAATCTTGCATGTGCGTTTTCTTGACAACCTTCAAAGGAGTGGTTCACATGTGGTACAGGAACCTCGCACCCGGGACAATCAAGAGTTGGGCGCAGTTCGTGCAAATGTTCACCTCGCACTTCATCACCAGAAAAAAGTGTCCGAGGTCATAGGAAAGCCTCCTCAGCATAGTCCAAAGGGAAGGAGAGTCGATTCGAAGTTACATCAAACGCTTCAACGACTCCTGTCTACAAATTTCTGACCTGGATCCCACTGTAAGGCTCACGGTAGCGAAGAGAGGCATCACTCACAGAGAGTTTAAGTGGCACGTGGTAGCCAACAAACCCAAGGACATCACCGAGTTCCTCAAGCTTGCTGACCAGTTCATTGGGACAGAAGAAGAGATGAACTAGAAAAATGAGAATTCAGAAGAGAAGTGGAAACGAGATGGCGACACCTTGACCAACGGGGACAACAAGCGAAGAAAGGACGAACCAACCAGGGGAGGGAACAAGTCAGATCAGCATTCCCGAACTCCTCCGGTTGAAAGGATGAACTACATGCCCCTCAATGCGAAAAGCGAGGAGAGATTCTCATGGCGATCAAGGATGCCTCATATGTGAAGTGGCCACCTCGGTTGAGAGGGGATCCTAATACCAGAAATAAAAATGTATATTGTCATTTTTATAGAGATCATGATCACAATACTGAAATTTGTAGAAACCTCCGCGACGAGATTGAAGAACTCATCCGTCGTGGATACTAGAAAAACTTTGTACAAAAAGACAATAAAAATCAGACAGATCGGCAGGGGGAGCAAAGGAGAGATGCTCCTGAGTCCAGCAACATACAGAGTGAGCAGCCACAGAGACAACTGCCCAAAGAGAGACCGATCCGCGGGGTAATCAACATGATTACTGGCGGGTCTATTGTCGTGGGCTGCACCTTAGCAGCGGCGAAGACCTCAGCTCGTGAACTAGAAAGAGAAGAACAGAACCCTCCGAAGTGGCCAAGGCTCGAAGATCCCATATTCTTCACGGAAGACGACGCGCGCGGGATTCAGTACCCTTGCTTATCTGGCCAAGGTCAGGGAAGTTCTACGCAGCTTCCAATCGTACTTCATCAAGAAGATACCAAGGTCCGAGAATACTGAGGCCGATGCCTTGTCCCAGTTAGCCAGCATGAGCAACAACACCATGAGGACCATGTACATAGAGAACCTATCTCGGCCCAACATTCTCGGGGGGGCAGAAGAGGTCGCTCCTGTTGCACAAGTAGAGTCGAGCTGGATTGACCCACTCGCGAGTTACCTACTTCACGAAACCCTCCCAGCAGATCGCAATGTGGCCAGAAGGGTAGAGCGATAGGCAGCCAAGTACGTCATGATAGACGAATGGTTGTATTGAAGATCCTACACACTCCCCTACTTGTGCTGCTTGTGACCCTTAGAGGCTGAGCTCGTTCTCCGCGACACTCATGAAAGCCTGTGTGGCGGACACTTGGAGAGTAGGGCCCTCGCCCAGAAAGTGCTACGACAGGGGTACTACTGGCCCACGATGAAGGTAGATGCATTCGATCTTGTTAAGAAGTGCAATAAATGCCAAAGGCACGCCAACATCCACCACCAACCTGCCGTCGACCTGAAGTACCTCACTAGCCCATGGCCCTTCGCACAGTGGGGAATCAACATTCTTGGACCATTCCCACCAGCGATAGGACAGAGGAGATTCTTGGTGGTAGTAGTGGATTACTTCATAAAGTGAGTGGAGGTGGAACCCCTAGCGACAATCACAGCACGAAGTGTACAAAACTTCTTTTGGAGAAGTATAGTATGCTGCTTCGGGCTACCTCGGGTGCTCATCTCTGACAACAGTAAGCAGTTCGAGGATATCAAGTTTCAAAATTGGTGTGCCGAGATGGGGATACAACAGAGTTTCACTTCGGTGGCACACCCCCAAGCAAACGGGCAGGCGGAAGTCACGAACAGAGCTATACTCCGTGGACTAAAAGCCCGCTTAGCCCGATCTAAGGGACTATGGGTAGACGAGCTGCCCAGTGTATTATGAGCCTACCGAACTACCGTGAAGACCGCCACAGGTGAAACCCCCTTCAACCTCACCTATGGCACGTAAGCGGTAATCCCAGCCGAGATCGAGGTGCCTACATTACGCCTGGAGGCATATGGCGAAGAGGCAAACGATGATGAGCTTCGTACCAACCTCGACCTGGTGGAAGAAGTACGGGACCTCGCATATATTCAGACCGCAGCTTACCAGCAAAGAGTGGCTCAGTATTATAACGCCCGGGTCAAGAAGCGGCACTTCCATTTCAGAGACCTAGTCCTCCGGAAAGTTATGGTGCCTGAGCTCGGTGTCGGTAAGCTCGGACCAAACTGGGAAGGTCCCTACCGAGTAAAGCGGGTACTCGGGGAAGGTACGTACGAGTTCGAAACCTTAGATGGAAGACAGGTACCTCGAGCGTGAAACGTCAGCAATTTAAGGTGATACTACCTGTGATCATCGAAGACAGGTACCTCGAGCGTGACAGGTCCAAGGACTAAAATTGTCGAGATGATAAAAGACCTCGGCATCATATAAGTCCCAGTCGCCTCTTCGGCTTGGGCGAACTAGTCCCAGTCGCCTCTTCAGCATGGGCATACAAGTCCCAGTCACCTCCTCAGCATGGGCATACAAGTCCTAGTTACCTCTTCGGCATAGGCAAAGTACTTCTAATGCCTAAAGTGTAGAGAGCTCGGGCGTGAGCCCTATGATGTCTAGCCCACTTCGGCATATATCAACAGGTTGGGCCCGTTAGGGACAACCGACATTTAAATGAATAGCCCGTGTGAGGATAGGTCAGGTATATACCCTGCAATGTCACCCACCTCGGCGTTCATTACGTAAAGTTGCCCCTACTAATAGTCCAAGTAGACAGTTCGAGGTAACAAACACTTAGATAAATTTTTACTTTGGTTAGCTTTACTTGTTGTCCAGCTCGGTAGCTCGACAATTCGGGTAACCTATACATTCATTCCCCATATCAGGAGTCACTCACACTTAGAGTATTTTTGCACAAGGATTGCACAAAAATGTTTGTATTTCATTAAGGAAAAAGTGTGAGTACAGAGATTTCATTGTAACCTGAGCTCGGTGGGTTCGGGGTGTACATTCAAAACACGAAAACAAGAAAAAGCCAGAATCACTCGTGATGACTGTTAGCTGGGTCAATCTCCATGTGCTCTTCCACGTCCTCTTGACCCGAGGGGCCCGCCTCTTCGGCTTCATCGACGCTTTCTTCCTCGGATGAGTTGGACTCTTCGTTCGCCACCTTCACCACCTCGGGGGTAAGGCCTAACATAGTGATGACTCCAGAATCAAGATGGGGGAACTTCTGCCACACTAAGTATCTGCACAACTTGAAACTGGAATGATAGGAGCTCAACCCATACTCGACCTAGAGATCATGGAACTCCGAGGATTCCTTGAAGCGTTTGATAGCATGGCTTCTTTCTTCAGCTCGCACCTCTTGGATAGCGTTCTCTCGTTGAAGCTTCACCTTCTCCTCAGTCAGCGTCGAGATCAGATCCTGTTGCTTCATTTTCTCCTCGGTTAGTGCGGAGATTAGTTCCTGATGCTTCTCCTTCTCCTCAATCATGGCCAAGATCTGCTCCTGCTGACTTCGTGCTCCATTCTTGGCCTGAAGTATCTCACCCCGAGCTAGGTCCAATTCGCAATGAAGCTGTCGTGCCTTTTCCTCGATATCCAGAGCCCGCTTCAGACGGATCTCGGACTGGCACATCAACAAATGAATGGTGAAGTTCACCTGGCAAATAAAACCGAAGTAAGTACATTTGAAATTGACAAAGAAATAAAATGTAAAGTAAGATACTTACCACCATGCAATAACCGGCAGCTCGGGCTCTGAGCATGGCTGTAGACATGTCAGCCCACTCCGCAACCTCGTCAGGAAAGACGACGTCCTTGCTCTTGCGCATACTGAGCTGAAGAGTCATTATGCTCTGCTTGGAGGGCTTGGGCCTCGATGCAGAAGTGCTTTCCGGCCTGCGAGGTTGGACGCTTTCCTGCTCGGGTACAGAAGTGCTCCCCGGTTCATGAGGCTGAGCATCCTCCTCCTAGTCATCATCCAGGTCCACTACGGAGGATTGAGGACGAACCTCCTCCTCGGGGAGCTTGGTAGAGATCGGCTCCACGGCCAAGACCTCGGTTGGGGCAGGGGCTGAAGGACCGGCCTCCCGGCGAAGCTTCTTCGAAGCCTTCCTCTTCTTCCCTCTCTGAGAGCTCTTGAGAATGTTCTCGGCACCAACCTCCGGCATAACTACAAGAGAAAAAGGTTAGCCGCGAGCTAAAAAGAACTTTACAATAAAAAACCAAGGTGGAAACCTACCAGGAGGGCTCAGACCAGCTCGCACAAGCTTCTCCTTGGCCAAGAAATCTTTCATCTCAAGGCCGAGGTCCCTCCATGAGTTGATGACTGCCCTAGTTTCTGCATCCAAGCTCACCCCGGGATCCTTGATAACTACCCTCTAGTGAGTTGGAAAAGACCACCCTTCAGGATTTCGGACAATGAAATACCTCCTTTTCCAGGCTGGAACCTTGTTCAAGCAGCCGAACAGGATTTTGAACCCAGGGCAAGGTGAGATATAATAGCTTTGTCTGACGTCCCCGCGCAAACAAGTAGAGTTTCGCTTGATCGCACAAATCAAGCTGAAGGTGTCTAGGGACAAAGGTCGGTTGTATATGTGGAACAAAGAGATAGTACCAACTATATTCCGAATAGAGTTCGGGTGTAGTTGGCCGATGGTAATGTTAAAAAACTTAATTACCTCTATAATGAAAGGGTGAAGTGGGAAGCACAGCCCGGCCGCGAGCTGCTCCTCCAAGACCGTAAGCTCATGGTGATCATGAAACCAAGGATATTGACCTAAGGGAAGACTAAAGACCAAGCTATCGGGAAGATGATAGCAAGCTACTAGGTACATTAGCCTATCCGAAGTCAGGGTAGAAGTATCGAAGTCATCTGGATCCCAAACCCGGGAAGAAGACGGGGTCTCCGTTCTAGAGGACGGACCCTCTTCCCGAACCTTGGTCTCCCCGAGCCGAGATGGCTCAACTTCGGGAACAAAAGTTTCCTCTAAAGATTGAAAAGGTGAGTCACCCAACGACGAGCTAGCCTCCCCAACAGGGGCCGTGGGTTGCACCACGGCACCCTCAACCTCACTAGAACTACTTAAAAGCCTATCTATGCTAGAACTAGACATGATTAAAAAACAAAAGAAGAATAGGAAAACACAAACTCACCAAAAAGGACTACCTCGGAAAACAAAAAGAAGAGTGAGCTGAAAGACTTCGACGTGACCTCGGGAGAGCTCAATCGCAGAATTTGTGGCGAGAAAAATGAGTCACAGACCCCCTATTTATAGCCGCTATGTCCGAGAACAAACGGTTAAAGATCAAAACAATCCAACGGCTCTTAGGAAAATCAATTGTGCGACCCCAGAGGATAAAATCGGTTTAACGCATTTTTTGACATCTGCGGAATTTATAAATCATATGATGTCCACTCGTAGGCCAAACGCGACCTGGGTTTTCCTGGTTGAGTTGGGTGCTCAAACAAGTCCGATCCGTGATTCATCTGACTAGTTGCTCAGACTTCGGACCAAATCCACTTGGCTTGTCATGAACTTCCCGCACCGGGTCAAGACCCTTGGCTCGGGGAGTGGGGGCAATTGATGTAGGATGATTTGGCCTGACCTAATAATAGGAAAACACGTGGACACCACCTAACCAACAAGATAACAGCTCAATCCGACACACCAAGTTTACAATAGATCGAGCTCGGATAACCGAACCACCTCGGGGCAAATCCACATCGGAATAAGTTCACCTTAAGGCACGATCGCATCAAGACCACCACGATCCCAAGGCACTAAATCTTATCAACTGACAGCGTTATCCCCAATTAACGCGAAAACAAACCTCATCTTAACGAAGACGTGAGAACCACTCCACAAAACCCGCAAAAACTCCACTGTATAAAAACTCCATCCCCGGGATGAAAAATACACGTAATATCAGCTCGCAATCCATTACTGATTTAAACATCATATCAACATCGCCGAATAAGCACCCCCGCGTTCTTGACTCCTTTTGCAAACCACCGAATCCCAGATCACCTCCAGCTGGGAACAACCGCATTGCGCAACATCAATGTTAATTAATACATTTGAATGATAGATTTAACACAACACAACCGTATACACCACCGTGATCTCAAAAAATAATAATCATGATAATAAACAAATAAATTCATTTCAGACCTAGCCTAGCACCTTTCCTATTTCTGTCAAAGCTAGACCCTCAAGTGCTTGTTCTCGAGGGTGAGACCTTATTTGCATCTGATATTCCAGCTAGCCCCTTCTCGAAAAGGCCTTAGAGCATTCCTAGGCTAACCTACTCTAGTAAATATTTCTTCTTCACTTGTCTACGGTAACAGACCGTAGAGTTATATATGATTGAGAAAGGTCTGATCAAGAGTATGTCTAGCCTACGCCCCAAACTTGGGCACTTTGGCGGTGGATATTTGAGCAAGGAAGTGTTCTGCTACGATTCGCCTCTGAATCTTCCCACTTGCAGTCTTGGGGAAGGAATCGGTTACGAAAACCTTCTTAGGCACCTTGAAAGATGCAAGATTCTTCTTGCAAAACCTCAGCACTTCCTCCTCGTCAATGTCTGCATCTTCTCTAAGGATCACCGCGCAGTTTATCTGTTCCAAAAAAAAACGACCATCATTATCAAATTTTATTTCTATAAGAAACACATAAGAAAAAAAGAAAACCCAACACGGCCAAGGGCCTCTTAATTTTTCAGCCCTATCAACCCAAAAAAATACACAGAAAAGGCTCGACCGCTCAACCATAATCATACTAGTTCTCTTTTTTTTCCTCCATTAAGGGTATGGTAACGTGTCCACAACCACAACATGGTAGATATGGAGTCCTTGCTGGATCCCCCTCATACAATAGGAACGCACCGGCACCTTAAATCTACAGGCTGCCACGTGAACCAAACATGCGGTCTGTGTCTCCACTCTCCACGCTCAAGGATGTATTTCTATTGGTGATCCAGCAATGGATCCCGCAGATAGGTGAAAGGTGATTAACAGATCCCATAAAAGAAAGGGAAAAGTTGGGACAGTTTTGGTTGGTAGCAGTAGCAGATCCCATCTCTGACTCTCACTGTACGCCTTTACCAGAAAACAAGAAAAGAAAAGGTCAAAAAGGAACTACTTTAATTACCTCTTCGCCATATTTATCGTCGGGGACTCCAAACGCAACCGCGTTTGCAATGTCCGGATGGGATAAAAGGATTGCATCCACTTCAATTGGTGATATTTTCTCCCCTGAAATATATATATATATATATATATAAACAACAAATATTTGTATCAGAATCCAACTAGTAAATTTAAAATTAAAAAAGAAAAAAGATAACACATAAGGTAGAAAAATGAGTGAGTACCTCCACGGTTGATAAGCTCCTTAATCCGGCCAACAAGATGCAAATAACCGTCCGAGTCCAAGAACCCGACATCTCCGGTATGAAACCATCCGAAACTGAAAGCTGCCTTGTTGGCTTCAGGGTTGTTCTTGTAACCCTTAGTTACATTTGGTCCCCTTATGCATACCTCCCCACTAACCTGCGCCGGCTGTGCTACCCCGTTCTCGTCCAGTATCGCCATTTCCTGCCCTATTGGCTTCCCAACCGACCCAGGCTTGTGCGGGCCGTCCTCTGGCAACGGATTCGATGCCATTAGATGCGATGCCTCCGTCATCGCGTACGCCTCCAACACCGGAGCCTCGAACACTTCCTCCAGCCGAGCCAGTATAGCCGGTGCCAGCGCCGCGCTACAGCTCCTTATGAATCGCAGCTTTGGGTACTTCGGCTCCGGTTTGCTAAGGTGTCGATCTAAGATGATCTGGTGAATGGTAGGCACCGCAGTGTACCACGTCGCATTGTAAGCTAGCATGTCAGACCAGAACGTCGAAGCCGAGAACCGTCCAGCGGCAGGAAGAGTTACGGCAGCTCCGGCGATGAGCGAACTCAGTAAACCGGCCATTAAACCGTGCACGTGGAAGAGCGGAAGGACGAGGACAGTTGAGTCGGACTCGGTTATGTTATACACCGATTTGATGTTCTGTACTGAGGCCGCAAGGTTGAGCTGCGTAAGCGGCACTCCTTTTGGTCGGCTCGTGGTGCCGGAGGTGTGGAGAAACAGGGCTACGTCGGACGGCTCGTTGACGATTTCATCTATCGACTTCTTTAATGGAACCGTCGCTTTCGAGTCGGACGAGAGAGTAACCTCTTGATCGGAATGAGGTAGTGCGGCTGTAATGTGGGGGATGTTGAGTTTGGCAGCGGCGGCTTGAACCGATTTATTCCCTTCTTGGGATGTTAAGAGGAACTTGGATTCCGAGTCAGATAAATAAAACTCAAACTCCTCCGGCGTGTAGGCCGCGTTGAGTGGCGCAGCTGTTGCTCGGGCTCGTATTACAGCCAATAACATAATCACAAACTGCAACCAAAATACACAAATTAATAAATAAATAGATGGCACCGTCGTCATATTCAATTTTAAGAAAGAAAACCCCATGAGCTAGGCCATGACAAATATTTTAGCGTTTGCTATTTGACTAAGCAAACAGTATAATAAGGAAAAAAAACATTTCGTCATTAAAAAAATAAACCGAAATATTTTCTGATGTAAGGCATTACGGAAGACAGGGCAATTCTGTAAACAAGAAGAACAAGAAAAAAGAATAGCTTCGGAGGGAAATAACGAAGAAAAGATCAACAGAATAGAAAAAATCGAACCTCGGCTGTGTTTGGAAAGGTGAGAGCGACGATATCACCAGGCTTGACGCCGGAAAGAACGAGGCGAGTGGCGGCTTGATCGATGAGTTCTTGCAATTGAGCATGTGTCAAATCGTACTTGCCGGAAACCGAAAGAGCTCGGCGGGAAGGGAATTTTCCGGCAGTTTGCTTCAATAAACCGGTAAGGGTGACTTTCTCCATTTCTTTTGCCCTCTATTTCTAGTCTTTACCCCTCTTTTTTGTTATTTATTGGCAAATGCGTCAATATGTAGAGATTTCTTTTTTCTTTCTCGTTTTCTATGAATATGTTGATAATATTCACAGAGGCAGAAGGAAATAGAAAGACGATAAAACGAGAGTGAGAGAAGTGCAGAGAGAAAGGATGGGTTTATACTTGGGGGAATGAGCGAACTGGCGAAGCGGCGGTGGGGAATAAATAGAGGGATCGAAGGAGAAGAGAGCGAAAGGGAAGATAGGAGCTGAGGAAGGGGGAGAGAGATTTCTTCGTTGTTCGGGGGAAGGCTGAAATTGGGGAAGGTCACTCCGCCACCTGGCAGGCAGCGAGGGTCAGTAGCTGTTTGAGACTTTGAGTGTGCCATCATATCATGGCAACTTCTGGCTCAGGAACTCCTTCTATGAATCTCTCGGCCTTTTTCCGATAGCCTCTTACACGTGGACGTAATGCATGACGTGAACTCCAATATTTTTTTATTGACTGCTGGCTAAAATAAAAATCGTGAGTTATCATCCAAGGCTTCCTCTGCAAACGGCAGAGTTCGCCCTGAGTCAGCTAAGTAGCTTGTAAGTCCATGTCGTTAAGCTTGACTGCTTGAGGCGGTTTGTTCTTTGCAACAAAAATGAACAAAATGTATGTGCTGACGAGTGACGACCCTAGCCTATATTGCCTATGCTACGCTATTATGTGTTACCCTGTACATCAATCCACACTTACTTGACACGTGGAAAGATGACTTACATCTTGGCTAAAAAAAGGCGCAAAGAATACCACCGTTTAATCTTGATAGGAAGGAGAACCTTCTAGATCAATTACCTCGATCTCTCCACATGCCACGTATGTGTATGATGCGGAAATATTGTTATACTTAGAAATAATGGATATTTCCAAGCCTTGACGGCACACATTGATCCATGCATGGTTCTTTTAGAAAAAAAAAAAAAAAATGGCCCAGAAGTGCATCAAAGGGCATGAGTACTTCTTGTTCACACTTGAGTCGATTATTATTATTATTAATATTTTATTATGACAGTCAAAATATTCAGATTCCACGTCATGTACATGCTGGTGGACGCTTGGTCATCAAGGACCAACAACGGAGCGTCGCGAATCCCCAGAAGACGAATATTATTTTTGTGGGTAGGAGGTTTGTTTATTTGGTTAATTGAATTTGGCTACAAGGGGGCATTAAGGGCCAAAAATGAATGTTTATTAATTATTAAGCTTGTAGTAAAGTAAGGTAAGCGTGCATGGGGGGTGGGGAAGAAATTGATTATTAATCAATTAGCATGCCATTGCTCACTTGATGATCATCAGGGTCATAAGTAAGCAAAGTTAAGAATATAATAATGCAAATGCAATTGGAATTTAGAAATGGACCTACCACCGTATCAGATTCACTACTAACGATACCTCACAGTCTCTCACCATTGGCATGGCACACTGTGACTATCTAATTCTCAACAAACTATTAAACTAATGGCGTGTCCGTGCTCGAGTCTCTCAAGGCTACTAATTTGGCTACGGAGTACAGACAAAAGCCGGATGGATGTGTGACGTGTGTCAACTTTTAATCAACTCAGTCGACAGTCGTGAATAGAGTCCATTGTTTCCCCTACCTATGAAGAATAAAGTCATCTTTTTATTTTTTATTCTTTTACCAATCAAGTATAGTTTTGTTTCATAAAATAAAAATAACTGCCACGTCAGTAAAAAACCCATTATGTGGTAATTGTTTAATTTTTAAGAAGAAACAAAATCGTACAAATTGTAAAAATTAGCATGATGATTGATGGCTAGAAAACTGGTAGCTAATAAGCCGGTATCGTCATTCATCAAAGGCAGGGCAGGGGTTCAGTGTTCTGATTCATCCTGTTTTATACCCATCTGAGTTCTGACTGAAGCCGAGTTCGATTCCAAGTTATTTTAACAAGCATGAACGGACAGACATATGGCGGGCGGCTACCTCTTCCTCTGACATGATTGATTGAAGCAGCGGTCAATTCAACATTGGTGTCCTCTTACATACACAAGAGGTGGAAATGCAACCGTAGCTTGATATAGTTGAAGGAACGAGAGATCTATCCTATTGACATCCAAAGATTGCGGAATAAGGGGCGGATTTCAAAAAATTTATCTCTCCCTTCAACTGGGAATCGTATTCTCTATTTAGAAAATCATATTTTCAATGATCAATCTTGAACCATAAACTGAATCAAAAGGAGTGGGAGAGGATTATACCTGATACGGAGAAATACTATCTCCCAATGGAGGTGTTCACGCCCAAGGAAGGATCCAAAATCTGCTCCCACTGAAGATGGCGCAGTGAA